CCAGTCCCTAACGTTCTGTGATTCTGTGATAGTAAATAATCAGTTTAATGGGTCAGTATGATCTGGTTCATTGAATGAAACAGAACGTTACTATTAGAAACTTTCTTGATGTGAAAGTAAACATGTGGCCTTTACAAGGGGAAAATACAGCCTTCTAATTTACGTTTTTGATTGTAGTAACAGGATCTGTCGTAATTTTTCAGTCACAATACATTGCACATTTTGGTTTTCTCCTGTTTCAGTGGACAAATAAATAAAAACTAGGAGTGTTTTCCCTGTTCTCCATCATCTCAGAGAACAGTGCAAAGCATGTCCACGTAGTACATGTTTCCTTACTGGTTTAGTGGTTTTTAGGATGAAGCAGTCTGATCCACATTTTAAGACAGCTGAGAACATTATTTCTAATTATAAAATTCTAGCAGAATGGGCCTTATGATAAAGTCATGGAACTGCTTGAGATTCTAGAAAATCATCTGGTTTTGCTTTGTGTGTGTTTGTTTTTCCAAAAATACTCCTCAGCGCAATTAAAGACAAAGCTGTCACCCTGACACTGTTACATCAAAGGGGGAAAGGCGATCTTTCTAGAGTGGGAGATACCAAAACTAATTTCACATGAATTCCACTTCTACATATTGAGTGGAACAGTCTTGGTTTTGATTTTCTTCTTCTGAATGTGTATGACTTTCAGTGAACTCTGGAATCTTTTTTTTCCTTGGCCTCGGGATTACAGACGTTCAGTGGTAATTTCTGAGGTGGTCTGCAGTGTAGTGGGGAGGGGAAGAGCCTGTTATAATCTCTTTGTGTTGCTGTTAATGCCTCTTCTAAAATTTGAGGTCACTTAACCACTATCTACCTTCCCAGTATAAACCAGTCTGTCTTTAACATTTCTTATTTTGAGACATACTGTATGTTCTTTTAGTTCCTTTGGCAAGTAGTCAAGCATATTTTGGATCTGCAGGAAAAAAAATCCAGACTTTCAAGAATGCAACAGTTTTTTAGGTGTACCACTGGCACTGATGCCGAGTCCTGCTCCAATGAACATCCAGTTTTTATGTAAAGACATAGAAAAAAAGCTTTTCAGAAAGGTTGCTGTCCCAGTCTAGCTCCAGAACCAGAGGAAGCAGAGCCATGCCCTTGAGGTGTTCCTAGGGTACGTTATCCTGAATGTGAGTATCACACACGCTGCTTGAGCTACCTGGAGTGCTGGACAGATGTACCAGCCTGCTACTGCCTTGGGATGGGCTGGTGGATGAACGTCTTCGTGTTCTGCTGCTCCTGTTTTGAACCAACGTGGATTGCTTTTGAAGTTCAGCCTAGCTGGTTACGTCTTAAAGGATCCTGAGAGCACAGAGCTTGCTGATGTTCCTGTAGCTGGAACTCATGAGTTTGGAGGCCTGTTTCCTTCTGTAGAACAGTCTCTAAAAATCAGAAGAGGTCTTTTAAGAAGGGTCAGTTATATCTCTGCTTTTTTTTCTTTCTTGCTGCTATTTTTCTACAATATTTTTAGGTGATCGTACCAATAGCTTAGTTTCTGCTGTGATGTTATTCTGTACTGAATAATTGTAATAATGGATTTCCATGGTTTATCATACCTAGGTCTTACCTAAAATACTTTTAGTATCATACAAACCATTATATTTCTATTCCAGTGAGAATTTGACAAATTTTTTCACTGTGCAAAAATTATGCTTTCATTTTAATCCCTGAATGCATTTTTAAGAGTTTAGATACACAGTTTTACATGAGTTAGCAGAATTTAGCTGCAGAGAGTATGAAACATTAGTGGAGAAATACATGTGACAAACACAGGTAGACTAATCCTTACGTGATGTCTTGATCACATTAAAAGCTGAATTACTGTTGGAATTCTAAAGAAAGCTGTAGTTAGCATTTCATCCCAGCAACACATTTCCTGTTTTGCTTTTTGTTATAATAAATTTTAAAAAGGTTATTCAGTAGCCAGTCTTGGGTTACAGCATGTAGTTCTTGCAGTGTTTTATTTGGAATAACTGTCTCTTAAACAGTGAACCAGAGTGAATCAGCTTTTCTGACTGAGCAGCCAAATTCCTTTTTCAAAGGAAGATCTATCATGGTTTTTTACTCATGTGCAGATCAGCTAAAGAGCACTTGGGACATGCAAGTCTAAGAGCAGGTTGCTGCCATCAAGGCAACTCATCCAGCCAGCGTTTCACTTATTAATGTCTCAATAACTGGATTTATGAGCTAAATAAATTACCCTGTCAGGCCACATATGGACTGCAGGCAATTGGTTGAACTTCTCTGTACTAATAATAAATATATTTAGCTTGGTCTGGGTCATGAAAATAATTTTTTTAAAAATCCTTTTGTAATTAGGTACTTCAAGGTCTAGATTATCTACACAGCAAGTGCAAGATCATTCATACAGATATAAAGCCAGAAAACATTTTGATGTGCGTGGACGATGCCTATGTTCGTAGAATGGCTGCTGAAGCTACCGAATGGCAGAAAGCTGGTGCTCCTCCTCCCTCTGGCTCAGCAGGTATAACAGTATATTGAAACGTAATGTAGTAAAGTTCCATCGGTATGTTAACACTAACAATATTCTATTTAATGAAAATTCACATTTTTAATAATTGTGTGTGAAAAATGCATGTCTGGTTAATTCTTACTCCTGCCTGAAAACTATCAGGGTAATGCTTCTCAGTTTTGGACATTGAAGTTTTTAGCCACACTGGAGCCTGCATCTCTAATATTGACAATAATTGTTAGTCTTATCTAAATTATGTCTCTAATTCCATTACAAGTTCATCAACACCCTTGTGAAACTATCTGCCCTCTCGTCAGTTAGAACTTATTCTCAGAATGCAAAGTCTTAAGAGTCCATAGTTTTTCACCCTTGAAAATGGAATTTGTTTTGCCCAGCTGAATTAACGATAAAGCCTTCTCCCTAGCACTCTATCTGCAATGTTTTATGTTAAACTTGCCAAGAGTTTAGATAGGAACTGTACGCTATGTTTAGTTAGGAGAAACCAAGGTGAAGAAGTTCACAGCAATTGATAAAGACAAGCAAGGAGGAAATGTGGCTTTTCTAACGATCTTTAGTACCATGGTTGCTATTTATTTGCCAATCCAGCACATCAGCTACAGGCAGTGGAGAAATACCAACATTTAAATCCCATTGTAATATTGTCAGAGGTATAATAAAATACCTGCTGTATCAGGAACAAATACTGTGGTCCAAATCCATAAATACTGCACAGTAATATAGACGTTAAAATGCAAAATCTTATAAATCATGAATATATTGCATTGAATTTTACATAATGAGTGATCACATAGCTAAAGGCTATATGTTATTTGTGTGGGAAGTAACTTGATTTTGTTCGTGCAGCCTTTATATTGCTTTCTGACATTAACATAAATATTATTTTAAGGAATATATTGATGGAGTTCTTATCGCACTTTGTTCATAGCAAATTGTAATTATATCTATGGATTTCCACATAGGAGTTGAAGATGTGTTTTCTTTACAGCATTTCAAGAGTAGGTTCTGCGTAATTCCCCTTTTTAGAGCAGTGATGGTACTCAAGTTTAAGAACCTTAAGTCAGCCTTTTGGAAAACCTTGCCCTTTAAGGGGCAGACAAGCATTTTTTTTCCATGAACTTAGCAGCATGAGCTGAACCTGTAAAAGAACTGAAGTCTCAACTGTCTCTGTTTTTTATTTTGCATTTGTTATTTGCCATATGCCTATGGGTCTAAAGAAGTTTGTGACGGGTTCTCCTCCTCTCTTCAGTTCCTCTTTCTCACTTCCACTTTACCTCTGTCTCCCATATTTGGTTATTTTTATTTGGTTTGATTTTTGGTTTGATATTTTGGCTTGCATTGCTGTTCTGTGCATTTTCACAGTTAGCGTTGTAATATCATCACGTCCAGTCTTTGATGGGGTCCTTCTGAGAGATGCTCAGGAAGAGTTCGTGCTGGAGATGCCTTTTCTGCAGTGGTGTGCTTTGTCCCACAGGCACGTTTTCATGCCTTTGGTCCTAGCAGTCAGACTGCCTTGTTTCAGAAGGAAGGAAACATGAATATTTGACTTTTCTGTTGAGCGCAACACGGTAGTCTTTGTTGATATTCCCTGAACCACTTAAAATCTGTCTGTACCTGCTTAGTCAGCTGACTACTTACATCTCATCTGTGACAACTCTGCAGTCATTGAATGTTTTCTGTCCACTCTTTACTGATTCAGACTTTCCTTTCTGACTTTGATTAACTCTCCACCAAGCACAACAGAGTGAACAGAAATTGATGCTAGCTCCTTCCAATTCCAGATGCTCTAACGGAGACATCAAATGATTTCAGGCAGCAGGTACTTGTAAAGAGTAAAAAATATGACATTAAAAAAATAATCACTGCTTATATTTAGTTAAGAATATTTTTACATGATTTCTAGTCTTTCTGCTTTTATAGAGTTGCTATTATAAAAATATACCTTTATTTTTTTTTTCTTTTTAGTGAGTACAGCTCCACAACAAAAGCCTGTAAGTATTGTTATGTAATTCAAATTGACTATCTTATTTGCTGTGTTTCTGTAGGTATTAGTAGGTATTAGACTGTTGGTAGTCTCTACCGTTTTTAAAAGCTTCCTTTGAATAAAGCTTTTATTTTTCAAAGAACACTTTTCTTCTAATGTCTCTGGCCTTACCAGTTCGAAGCACAGTATTTATCTGATGGAAACTCATAGACTTATAATTCTATAGCTATGTCAAAGAAAGTGAAACATTGCCATTTTCATCTCTCGAGGAATGAGCCATTCTGTTCAGATCCTTACAAAAATATGTGCATGCACTAAATATCACGCACTGCAGATAGCTTAAGGACTTCAAGGCCTTAATCATCAAGGCCTTAACGGAGAGGTTTTTTTATGAGGTTTGAAAGGTCTTATGCCATATACATATAGGAAATAACCACTGAAAATACAGCTGTTTAGAAACATTTAAGATCAAAACTGCTTCCTGTCTGTCTGTACAGAACGTATATAATTTCATTGGGCATACGACATGGATGAAAATAAACAGGATTGTCAAATTAACTGTCTAGTTTTGACTGTCCCGTAGCTTCTTTTGAAGGTAACAGGATTTAAAGATAAACCTTTGAAAAAATATTTCTCTTTGTTCCTACTTTATTTTTGAATTATGTGAGGATTTCGTACTGTACATATCGAAACAATGAATGAAAACTAGATAGATCTGATTTATCAAATAGTAAAAATAGAAGTCAAAATTCAGTTAAAGCAACTGAAAATAAAAGGAACTGTTTCAATCCTAGATCAGATGTGTTAATTTTTCTTTTCCTTGTTACTGTACCTGAGTTTTTCAATCTTTATGTTATATAAAATGTGAAACTTTTCGTAATGGCCATCTGTTGTTTGTGATTCATATGTTTTGGGCTAGAAGTGAATAATAAAAATGCCTTCCTTTCACAGGGAAATAGCTGAACAGCACAGGATTTGTTTAAGATTCTTTACCATTTTTGATCTGGCTTGCTTGTATCATTTTTCTCAGCTGGTCATTGCCTGCATTGTACAGAGAGAGAAATAATGTATAAAATTTACATGTAAATTACTAGATGTGATAGCAGAATATCTTCCACATGCAATATCATCTGTGGATCTAGATTAAGATTATTGTGCTAGTCAAGATTATAGGATCATAGGAATTTTACTCTGGCATCCTAGATGTATTTTACTCTTGTATTCAACAACCGACCATGTAAAAAGATGAAAAACTATGTAGTTTTTTGATAGCTTTTTTTTGCTCTGTATAACCCTACCTCATTCTTGATTTGAAGTAAAATGGAAGAAGCAACTTATTCCCATCTGATATTTCAAAATAAAAAGTAATCTTATTGCAAGTGAATTTAGCGTGAGATGCCTTGAGATTAATTGTTTTTTTCCCTTTGTTTGTATTAATATTTTAGGTTGGAAAAATATCCAAAAACAAAAAGAAAAAACTGAAGAAAAAACAGAAGAGACAAGCTGAGCTGTTAGAAAAACGCCTGCAGGAAATAGAAGAACTAGAGCGAGAAGCTGAAAGGAAAAAAATAGAAGAAAATGTAACCTCAGCTGTACCATCAAATGAACAAGAAGATGAGTACCACCCAGAGGTGAAACTAAAAACAGCTGATATAGAAGAGGTAGTAGATGAAGAACCTGGAAATGATGATGGTTAGTATTACCTGCTTTTATTGACCCTGATTTTACTATTTTAGCAGGGAAGGTAATTGCAGCATTGCATCCGATACAATGAGCAAAGTCTCCAAACTTTCCAAGATCATCGAGTTTCATTCTGTCCTGCTGGTAAAATCGTAACTACAAAGTCTAACAAGGAAAAGTCCAACCTACTGTAGAAGAGAATAAAAACATCAGTACCAGTCTAGCTATCAAATCTCACAAAAGAGCACATAGAAAATTCAACGGAACAGTCGGTTCTCATAGCACATGAAGCAGCATAACCAGGTGTCTTGGTGAGAGAGAGGAAAAATAAGATTAATTTGTATTCTGTAACATTACTGTAGTTAAAGCCATCCTTGCTTTCCCCTGTTCTTTTTACAATGTTGTTGTAATGATCTATTCAGGTAATAATAAGCAGCTGCTTTGCTAAAATTTTTAAGATGTCATGTTAAAGTTCTTGTTTAGTCCCAGTGGTTTAGAGGGTAATTGTTGTGGTCCAGCTCTCTTCTGGCCTCTCTGCTTTTCTTCTCAACTCTCTCCAATTCTACTGAAAATGTAACTACTGAGACTGTCGTTTGATTTGGTTTGGTTTACTTTAGTTTTGTTCTGTTCTTACTGAGAATTTTCCTACTTCTGTGATGACTCCCTGTTTGACACAGACTGAGTTACAGATTTGTAAAGCCTGCTTTCAGAACCACATATATCTTCCCTCCATAACATTCTTTTCTGAATTGTTCCCGCCTGAACCACTTCCCATTGTTTATTTTTTCAACAGCCTTATTCGTTTTTTCTTTTGCCTTTAATTTAGATTTTTAAGGTCTTTGCACGCTTCAATGATACTCAGATACTTTAGTGATATTCTGACATACCTTGTGTGATGTGTCAGAAGTCAAGTAATCACTGAAGAGTTAAAAGTCATGAATGCCTAATTTCAAATGGCACATTGATGCGTGATCTAATGTGTTGCTTGGTGAAATTTTCAGGTGAAACAGAAGATCAGGATGAAAAAGAAGACACAGAGAAAGAAAACACTGAAAAAGATGATGACGTTGAGCAGGAACTTGTCAATGCTGACCCTACAGACCCTAAGTGGATAGAATCCCCCAAAACAAATGGCCATATTGTGAACGGCCCGTTCCTATTGGAACAACAGATTGAAGATGAAGATGAGGAAGAGGAAGAATGTCCAAATCCAGAGGAATATAATCTTGATGAGCCAAATGCAAAAAGTGATTACTCTTATAGCAGCTCCTATGAACAGTTTAATGGTGAATTGCCAAATGGACGTCATAAAATTCCCGAGTCACAGTTCACTGAATTTTCAGCTTCAGTGTTCTCTGGAGCTCTGGAATCTGTAGCCTGTGGTTCTGCTGTTTCCGAAGGATCAACTGTAACCGAAAGAGAAGAGAGCAGCCCATCTCATGACAGGAGCAGAACAGTTTCAGCTTCAAGCACTGGGGATTTGCCAAAAAGTAAGTATTCCCCTTAGGGGCATATAGCATGCTTGCAGTCTCTTGGAGCTGTAGGTGATGTCTTAGGTAGAATGAGCAGCGGAGTTAAACCTTCTGGATATGCTTTACCTGTGTTCAGTGACGTGTAGATTCTGCTTTTTATTTGTTTGAGGTATTTCGGTGAAAATTCAGTACCAAGCCCTATGGGTAGGCAGCAATGCTCTGGCTTGCTTCATGCTTGAGTCTGAAGAGTGCCCACTGAAAAGGTGATGCCTGTGTGCCAGCCTCTGCAGTCAGAGAAATCTGTGCAGAGTGCTCCCAAATGCTCTCCTTTGTGGGCATTCCCCAGACCTGGAGAGGGAGGTGGGATATGGGGTCAGATTATCCATGGCTAGGGTTAGTTTACAGCTGCAGCCTGCTACTGGGAACCCTTTTTTCAATGCTGGCAGATTTCAGCTTCTTAGTTTTATCTACACTGAACACTCAGCTGACAGTTGTAATAGTCTCATTAAAGGCAATAGATTAGCTAAGCGTACTTTAAGTAAATAGGATGCTTTTTTTTTTTGCGTTCAAACCTGGGAGTTCGACAGAACACAACACAGAGCATTCTTGTTAAATTCAAACAAATCTACCATCTTGCATTTTCCTAAGAGGAAAGCAGAACTGTGATTTTTTTCTGCTGTAGAACTTGTTTTGACGAATATTAGATAAGTTACTGTAGATGAAATATTTGCATTGACAGGTCGGTCTACACAGGAAAAAGAAAAGGAAGTTCATAATTGCAAGTAAGCATTGTTCCCATAGTTTAAGAGCAGAAGGTGATCAGAAGATCATGTAACCTGACTTCCTTTTGTAACAAGCCAGTAACGCACCATTTATTAAGCCCAGTAACCTTTATGTTGGGCTTAAAACGTGTTTTACAAAAAACCACCTACACTTGATATGGACAAATGAAATGATAACAAATGCAGTGTGGTTGAAGTGTGTTCCCCTGGTCAGTACTTGGAGCTGTTTCAGAAGAATTGTAGCAAGTTTAGATATTTCTGGCTGCGGGTTTTAGCTTTTATTTCTTGTTCCATCTTTTCTCAGTCATATTAAAAAATTCTGTAATACGCTACATTTTCATTCATTAACGGTTCATTTCTGTTTCAAACAGTTCTGTTCTTAACCTTTTCTTAAAAGTCAACAAGATGAATTCTTTGTCTCTGTCAGACATGTTGCCAACCCGTAGCTCACTATGGCTTTTTCAGTATTCAGTGTGATTTTGGACATTGAAGTTCTAGCCACTAAAATGGCTCAGATCCAAAACTTTTATAATCCTGTTTATTGAAGACATGGAAGGTGGAATCTTGGTGTCACTGGAAAGAGCTGGATTTTTGCCATTGAATTAAATAGCTCCAGAGTATTACGCATAGGTTTTATTTATAGTGCCAGTGGCTAAATGATAAATATATGGGTTTCAACTTTATTAAAGGAAATACTGAGAGACTAAATCTGTAAGCAGATAGAAGAAAATGAGGTAGCTTAGGAGAACACCACCAAGCCTGCATCAATATTGTCTTAGATGAAGTCACTACATTTAAATAGAGATGTATTGAAAAATACAGCCGAGCGTATTTCTTGGTTTAAGACTTTAAAAGAGCAATTCACAGAATTTATTACAAAGACTGACAGGTGAAGTAATCTGCAGATAGGTAAGAAATGTGAAATCAAACACAACTGGATAGAGCTGTATTTCTGGCAAATGTCAGGATCCAGGCTAGTAAGTCTTCCAGTCCATCTCCTTACACTGTTCCTTTAGCCATGTGCAGGAGGTTCCCAGATGCCTCGCAGCCCCTTTCTCTGTGCTGCTGGCAGTGCACCAGCAGAAAGCTGCTACTGCTGTTTGCCCAGGGTGGCAGGTAAAATTCTCGTGCCTCCAGAGTGTGAAGCTGGTTTTGTCATCGCGGGAGCAGCTTCTCCCCGTCGCTGGAGAAACAAACCTCCTTGATGCTACCTCATCAGCAGCAGTGTACAAGCCTTTTGTGCAAAGAAGGAAGAAGGACAGTAAATTCTGCCATAGCTCTCTTCTTCTGCAGAAAGAGGAAAAGCTGAGTGTTATTCGTATTAATGGCATCAATAATAATATTGGATTAGACAGTAATGAAACAGATTAAGGTATTTAGAAACAAGAAAGATACAAGAGTTATATAGGCTATTCAATATTTTAAAAGTTGCTACTTTTTCCGCTTAGTGCCTTTTTCCTGTCTAGAAGTAAACTGTATTTGTTCCTCTCTTTCTAGGCATTGCTATACAGGATTAAGTAACATGATCTTAGCTTATTTTTTCAGGATTCTTGCCCCATTCAGTGCACAGACCAATCTGCACTCAGTGGAGGAGCAGCTATTAAGTTTGTATCTCTTTCAAGTTTTCACTGCGTGACTAAATGCCCTTAAGATCGATCTATTAATTTCCCCACGACTCTCCTCCTCATTCCGGTGTGTGAATGTTTGCTGAGCGTACTGTCAGGCTGAGACTGAGGAGAGGAGGTGACATTTCTCAGTTTAACGAAACTGAGACACACACACAACTGAAAATTGGAAATGCTCACTAATACTGTGCTCAGGTTGAGCTCCTTTGGATGCTTTTTGAGAGTACTTGCTAAAAAGTATGCTCTGACTTTGCTTTCAGTTGTGAATGATCTGCTTTCATCAGATTCAGAATTCAAGGTCTCATATTCATATCTCTGAAACTGTGGGACAAAAACTTCATGAGTTCATGAGAAGAACACAGAAGAGTAGGCATCTGCCTGTTACCTTGTCCTTCTGTTAGCAGGTTGAAGAAAGCTGTTTTCTCATGTCAGATTCACGTGTCTTACTGATGAGGCTTTTTCCCCCCCTTCATTCTGCTTTATTTACTCCAGTCCTTCACCTTCAGTAAGACATGTGGGAAGTATTTATCTAGCACTGTCCTTTTTTGCCAGGGCTACTGAATTGAGAAAGTTTCTGTTATTTCTTGAATAATGCATGTGATTGTGTTTTTTAAAAAAATCAGCCTGTACTACGCAGCATGCTCCTAAGGGTAGACTTTAATAATAAACTTACTAGTTCCTGTCTTTCAAGTGCTGGATTGCAGCCTTATTCTCTCAGTATATTTTACTGTTATGCCCAGTATTGGTGCTTCTTTTTAAACTTCAATCTCTGACTCAGTTCCAGCTTTTTTGGAGGACTGCTTTGTTGAGCTCACTGCCCCTTCTCCCATGTAGTCCTGTCTTTTCTTTCCTTCTCTCCCCGGGTGGATCCTGCCACTTTCTGTTCTGGTAGGCCAGTGTTTCAGTGCCCGATGGCCCATTCAGGCTTGCTGTCCCAGCAGTTGAAGATCCTCATCAGAATTCTGTCACTCCAAACTCACCATTAAACATCCTGTATTTTCTCTCCTTGTCCTACGTGTGCTGTATTTTCCTCTTCCAGTTCTTGTGCCAGTTTAACAGATCATGGTGTCCCCCTTGGAGTCCCAGTTGCCTTTTGGATCTAGTACCTCTTTCTTATCTTACCACCAGCTTCCAATTTAGTCTTCATAGCTTTGGAACAAGGAAAATGAGATGAACCTGCTGCTGCAATGTGATTTGTGGTATCTGGTTGTATCTTTCGTGTTCAAGTCAATCTGCTTTTTTTTCCAGTGCAATTTAGGATTTAGGAGGTGGTGTGGCATAACAAAGAAAAGCAGCTGTCCTCTGCTGTTGTATGTTAGGGTTGTCACTGTCCCGGGAGCCTCTAAAGATTGTAGGATTAATCAGGTTGAAGTTCTGCCTTTTTAGTCTGGATCATACTCAGTGCAAATAGGACCTTCCGAGAACTTTGATTCAACACTGAATTATCTGTGTCATGGGTGACACTCCCCTAGGCTCTTGAACCAGCCAGGTTTTGGTGACTCTTTTTCCCCTTGGGACAAAATTAAAAAAAAAAAATAAAATCCAGCCAAACTTGATTTGCCTTAGCCAAGAATGGAGGTGCAGAATGTATTTTATTTTCTCAACCAAACTGTTCCCAGAACATAGCTTTCGTGTGGAGTTCTTGAAGTTTGAATTTTAACATTTTCTGTTTGATTCTTGGAAACATATGCACTGTTTTTGCTTAGAAGCTCCTCTGGATATTCTAATAATAGGCATTTGGCAGTTAAAGGATGCAGAAAATTTGCACTTGAAATGTGTGAGGATATTTAGAAATCAACATAAGAAATCCTATTTATATTGCTTTAATTTCTCATAACATTCAGCAAATTATTTTGATGTCTTCAATGTATTGCAAAACTGGATAAAGTGTCAAGGCAAAACTGCTTTAGAGATAATGAATAGTATGTTCAGAATACTAACTATTCTGCATTTTACTTGTGCCAGCAAAAACTCGTGCTGCTGATTTACTCGTAAATCCACTGGACCCAAGAAATGCAGATAAAATTAGGGTTAAAATTGCTGACCTGGGGAATGCCTGCTGGGTGGTAAGTATACCTACATGATTTTAGCTGTTTACCCGTCACTGTTTAGAACAGGCCTTTTTACTGTTCATGTTTTCCATTAATGTGCTTCTTTCTGTTTTAGCATAAACACTTCACAGAAGACATCCAGACAAGACAATATAGATCCATAGAGGTTTTGATAGGAGCAGGTTACAGTACACCTGCTGATATCTGGAGTACAGCATGTATGGTAAGAATAATGTAGCGTGTCTTTTACAAGAGCAAACCTCCTAAAAACACTTGTTTGTGTAGTGAGGAAACCTGGTGGGGATGGTTCTGACATTTTGACCCAACTACATTATTATAAATTAGGTCATATCAGATAGCTCCTGATGATTTTCCTCCCTTTATTTCAGTTTCTCAAGCATTCTTAATCAAAAGGAAGTATTTTGGGAGAGTATTTCTAATTTTCATTTGATGCATTTTAAACTTGCAGTCAAAAATATGCATGTTTGGAGGGAAATAATGTCTATTTTAGATGTCAAAGTCTAACTGAAATAGTTCAGCTGCATGTTTCCTGCCCATCTTAGAAGCTATGAAACTGTTTGCTGTGTTTCCATTCCTTTTTCTTGCATAAAGTAGCAAAACAGTGAAATACTTCAAATTCTTGCCAAATGCAGTGAAAACATTAATGGGATTAGGCCTGCAAATCACGACTTTAGATTCTAAACACTGAAGAGAAGGAATTTAGTCTGTTAGTAAAATATGTGGTAACATTCTGTAGAATTAGTTTTAACATGGTAAACCTGAAATGCTAGATCTTAAAAAATCTTTAAATAATAGAAAAAGTAACTTTCTGAAACTCTTACTCTGTTTGTAATGTCTCTTTGAGGACAAATAAGCTACATGCACCTTCTTATTAAACATAGTTCTGGAAATGCATTTGGAAATACCTTTTGTCTATTTTAAAAGTGAAAACTTACTCAAATTTTTATATTTTACAAATACATGTCTGAAAAGAGTAAGTGTGTGAGGAGGAGGAGAAAACTCAAATACTAGACACAGTTTGCGAGCGTGGGCGATGAGAAAAATTGCAGAGCTCTGAGGGAGAGGAGGAGGACTGAAAGGAACATAAAATCCTACAGATATTATAAGCTCAGCAAGCAGTGTGTTGGAAGTAACTAACCCATAAGTAAAATTGCAAGTATGTTTTCTCTGGAGTTTAATACTGGCTTTTGCTTTAGTACACAGAAAAGAACATCCATTCCCAAATACACTCTTCCATCTGGGGGCAAAATGTAGAATTTTTCTATTACATTGGAAACATAGCACAGAAAATATTCCACAGTTTTGGTCCTTAATTCTTTGAATGATTCTTCTCTTAACTAACTGCAAAATTACTATAGAGACCTGTCATTGCTTTTACCTGATATTTTGTAAACCTCAGTTGAACTTGATACCTTCTTATGGTATTGAATACCCTGTGTTTGTCTTCCTCTAAGGTTGTACCTACCTCCTGCTAATTTTATATACAGTCTTGTGGCAGAAGCCACATAAAAAAGACTTAAGTCTATCTAGGATTGTGTTTATAGAAAGTGAGGTTCTTAATAGCAATATCATGCCTAGGGATTATAATATTCTTACAATACTAGGGGTCATCCAGCCCCTTACACTTTATTTTTTTCCATGTTACATAAGCATTACAGCTTTCTTCATGCTGGTGCTTTCTCAAACTCAAAAATAATTTTAAAAAGCCTAACGAATCTCTGCCACTAAGGTTATCTTAATTCACATTCACAATTATTTATGAAGTTTCAGTATTTTAATGAGAAAATTACACTTCTGCTTTTTTGTTATGTAAGCTTTAAAGACAGTAAAGCATTTGAGGCAGAAACACTGGAATTCTGTCTTCTGCCAGACTTTGGTTTTTTGCCCTTAAAAATGCCGTAGAAATTTTAGTCTTACAGCACTGACTTACGATTGTTGAATTCAGTTGTCACAGAATCACAGAATGTTAGGAGTTGGAAGGGACCTCGAAAGATCATCCAGTCCAACCCCCCTGCCAGAGCAGGATCACCCAGACCAGGTCACACAGGAACGTGTCCAGACGGGTTTTGAATGTCTCCAGAGAAGGAGACTCCACAACCTCTCTGGGCAGCCTGGTCCAGTGCTTCATCACCCTCACAGTAAAAAAGTTTTTCCTCATGTTCAGATTGAACCTCCTGTTCTCCAGCTTGCTCCCATTGCCCCTTGTCCTGTCATTGGCTGTCACTGAGAAGAGCCTGGCTCCTTCCTCCTGACACTCGCCCTTTACAAATTTATAAACATTAATGAGGTCACCCCTCAGTCTCCTCTTCTCCAAGCTAAAGAGCCCCAGCTCCCTCAGCCGCTCCTCATAAGGGAGATGCTCCACTCCCTCGATCATCTTTGTGGCTCTGCGCTGGACTCTTTCAAGCAGTTCCCTGTCCTTCTTGAACTGAGGGCCCCAGAACTGAACACAATATTCCAGATGTGGTCTCACCAGGGCAGAGTAGAGGGGAAGGAGAACCTCTCTCGACCTACAACCACACCCCACATCACTGTATAGTCATGTAAAGAAAAAATGAGTTCAGTCTTTTAAGCTCACCCCAAAAATTCATGGTTTCAAAACCCCTCAAGATCTACTTTCATTCCTGTGTGGTTGAGAAAATGTGTTGGAGCACTGAGTGCAGGTTCTGTATCAGATGGAAAACAGCTCTGCGGTGGGACTGGCTTGAAGACCTGTACAGCTCTTTCTGCAGAGGACTTGTACCAGAGATTAATGGCAGGGGAAACATCCATAACGTGGAACTGCAGTGTGTCTGGGCTCTCTTTGGAAATTGCGCTTTGATTCTCTCCAAGCATTGAAGCAGCCAAGAACTAAGAAGTACCAAAGTGTTTCAATGCCATTGCAGTCCCACTTGCTTTCTCGAGTTTGGATTCCTTGTTGTACCTAGATGTGGTTCAGAAAATGCCCCTCTAGGTTACCTTGCTCTTGTTTCATATTTAATTCACTTCATTCCGTAATGTTTACTGGTTTGTGTGCTTTCGAAAGGATTGTCTGCTGGAGCAGGAGCTGTTTATTTTCAGCCAAACTACAGCTCAGATACTCTGTTAGCCATTTTGTCCAAGATTCTTGAGGGAGAGCACGGAGACATCTTTGTCATGTTGTTTTGTTTATACAAGAAGTTCGGAATAAGGGCATTTTTGGAAGCATGACTATGTGAAATGAGTGGCCCAGCAGTATTACTATGACTTTTTTTTTGGTCAGGTTCCATCCCTCCAAACTTTGTCCAGTGTGACGGCACATGAAATGGTGTCCTACCAGCTGACTCTGCATTGATTGCATATGGTATTTCTTATTCCCTGCTTTTTTAACATAAATGGGGAAAAAAAAAGGTGGTCAGTTAAGGGGTAGCTATATGCTAGTAAGTGACCTCAGTTTGACGTTGTGTTCAGGTTAGGTTGGTAATTGCTGTGATCATACGCACCCATGAGAAATGCTGCGTTTGTGAATGGGTAAGAAAGGTGCCGTGGGGCTTTGCAGTGGGAGCCGTGTTACATACTTGCAGATCCTGTCCTTCGTTCTGGGCATGATTTTGACTTTGGATGGAGCTTTCTTGTCTCAGTTTATCTACTGAATGCAGATATTGCAGAAGTGTGCACCTAATATGTGTGATGTGAATTAATGTGAATGTGAAGTATAATAAGTAAAGCAAAGATGAGATGTCTCACTTTTAAAACCCCTGCTCACAACAGAATTGCTGAGCTAGTTCTCTGAACCTGCACAGAAAGAGGGTTCAAAACTTTTTTACCTCATTTGGATGAAATGTGTGCAAATACATCTTGTAGATCTGGGTGTACCCATGACCTCCAGATGGGAGATTTCTGAGCAGTATTTGCACAGGGACTGATCCAGGTGTGCTCTTCACTCCTCCAGCTGTGTAGCTCTCACTGACAGAAGATCTGCTGCTTCAGAGTCCTGGTCTAGTTCTCCATCTCAGTGGGTGTTTCAGTTGCACAACGTGGCTGCCAAACTCTCCTGAAAGGGCTTGCTTCCAGGTAGTCCAGGATGCTCTGCTTAGGAAGTAGTAAACAGCACACGCGGAAGCTGCTCAGCTTGCAAAATAGAAAAGGTTTTCCATCATATATCCACTACTGTGCTAGCTATTCTAGATAATATCTCCATTTTTAAAAAATGACAATAAAAACAGGCCTTTCTTTGAATTAGTTTAGGGTCCATAGAATTTCCATGTCAGAGGTTGACCTCCAGATTGGTACATAAAGCACCTCAGTCTTTTCATGTGTCCTGGCTAGTAGATTTCATGAAGGACTACTTGGAATGCATAAGACCAGGATTCACGTGAAGCCTTAACTTGGTCTTGTGCTTTATGTAGATCTCCATGTGAGCCTAAGGTTTTTCACTGCCTTTTGCTTGCTAATGAAATAATCTTGCTCACTGGGAACAGCACTGACTGTGAGAGTAGCAGAGCTACTTGTATTGTATTGTCAATACTAGGTTCTTGTATTGACTTGTATTTATGTCATGAGTTGTTCAGCCAGAGGTTGTGGTGTATCGCAGCAGCAGCAGCAGCAGCAGACTGTCTTTTTTCATTGTACCATTCGCTCATGAGTTTTACTTAGTCTTTAGCAATGAGGGTGAAGATGATGATAATGCTTTTAAACAAAAGCCTCTGATAGTGACACCTGAGTGTGCAAAGCACCTGTGTTCATGTGTGCACAGCAACTTTCAGAATACCCCCTTATGAAGCTGGCTTTTAGGACTTGGAATGTTATGTCACCTGCGCTCTGCTAATTACGTGTTGGCTTTGTCTAGACATCAACTCCATGGTTTAGATGCAGCTTCCAGGAAAAAAATAGTCTTGTTCTATTTCTACTGTCTTTAGTATGGGAGAAGCCAGAGATTCTGATCAGGATTACTTATGCTGGCAGTGCACATAAACATAGCCTAGTAAGGGCTCTATCCAAATACCATCTGATGTAACAGAAACGGTGCTAAAGAGGGAGAAATAACTCGGTGCTAATAGCCTTACAGTTCTGATTCTTTTGGTGTTATGTCAGTGAATAAATGAACAGCATTGTAAGCCAGCAGCCTGAGAGCTGAATCTTCTAATTTGAGATGATTCAGCATGGCCCAGTTCTTGTGCCCCAAACTGCTTTGAATCAGCTTTAAAGGATGAGAGAGAGTATCCTCAGGCCAGTACCAGTCCT